AATAAATACTAGAATTGATAGACAATGACAAAATATTACTACAGCCTATCAAGAATTTGTTCTTATGTGCTGAGTATTTTTTTTTAACTTCCGAAGACGTATGAGTCATACAGTTTTTTTTGTCTTCATCACTGCAATGCAAATAGATAAAGAATTTTTAAAATGTTTATCTTCACCATGTAACGATATAAGTAGTATTTGAAAGGACTGTTGTAATTATATACAACAAACTTCCAAGTTTAACTGCATATTTTGCTTAGAATATAAATAAAAATAGACGAGTTATATTAAACAGAAGTAATCAATTCAGGAATAATTTTTCTTTCTTTTTATTCACGAAAAGTATAGATTAAAGAGAGATGAATCAATCAGAGTATAGAATAAAACCGTAGGATTTAGAACGAATTTTTCAATTTAGACTTCATGTCTTGATTTGTTTTTCATTTTGATAGATAGAAGCGTTGTGTAGTCTTGTTAAAATTCAATAGAGTGTGAAAAAAATTGATCGTTGTAAAATAATATTCCAGAAGTATTTTTATTTTGAGTATTCAGAGATTGATGTCTTGTGATTGACTATTTATCGATTCCTATTAGAAAGAAATGAAACTAAATTAGACGTTAGAAAATAATTTACACTAAATAAATATTTTATTCTTGTCTTTTACGTTTTACAAAAATATATTAAATTTAATCAATCATTAATGTGTTAGGTATAAATAAAAACAAAACCAATTGATCTCAAATTTGTTATCACAATAAATTCCTTCCATTTTTCCATCTTATTCTAGTTCACTTCATTCACGACAAGAATTCTATATTTGTATTTTGTTCTTTCATTCATTAAATAAATTATTTTTAATGAATATTTAAATTAATAGTTGTTTCTCAAATACAATTGTAATTCAATATTTATTAAAGTAATTTCTTTGATCGATATCATGTCTTTGTCAACACAATAAACTTTAGTTAAAAGGAAACAAAGAAGATAATTTCTTTTATTGACATAAGTTTTTCATTCATATTAACTCCTATTTCATATAAAAAGATCTTTGATCTTCTAGTAGGATATTCGTTCTTTTTTGTCGAAATCTTGTCTCATGATTCTAACTATAAGGATTAATTCGGTTGGAAAATGAAAATCATTCCCAGAAAATGCATCACACATCTAATGGGTACATGTGCGTCTTCTCTCCACGCAAACATTCACATTCATATTCCATTTCGTTGCTAGAACTATAATATTCTTCACTTATCATAGTGCATGAAATTAACGATTTAAGCTTCAAGAAATATGTGCGATATTTATGTACTGAGTACAGCGACAAAGTCTTTATTGACTAATGTTTACGATCAATAATCACTTTAATTTTTCTACTGTTTAAGTTTTTCGCTATGATACTGCAAGTTTTCCGAGGAAAAAAATATGAAGTCCTATAATTGATTTACTGAGATCATTTAAAAATCTGCTGTGAACACATCAACACTTTGATCATAAGTTTTTCAGTTTATGAAACTGACCACATATCTAGATGAATAAAATCACGGAAAAGCCAGAAGAGATCAAGTTCCACTCTAATCTATTCACTGATATTATGCTAATTACACATTTTAATTCCATAGAATAGTAATGTAGTCTCACAGAGGCTAAGGGAGTTTAGGCTCCCTGGAACATTCCTTTGGTTACGCTACTGCCTTTGCAATGACATTGAAAGCTTTTTCCAATGTATTGTTGGCAAACAAAATACAAACTTTATATTATTCTTGTTGTTCTTCAATGGCAGAAATCAATTCCATTAATGTACTTATGTGTTGTATTTGTCACATGCTACTTCAATACGACGCTACGTCAGCATTTGCATTCATAAACGACACAAACACAACTGTTCTGCCATGTTTACACAGTGATGAACAGTATGCAAAATTTACATGGGTTCTGCAAAAAGTCGTACAGTTGTTCATTTTGAAGGTAATTAGTATAGTGCAGCAGATGTCTGTTTTTCTACTCTTGAATTGAAGCAAGAGTTTGTTGTGCATCCTAAGAAAAATTCCTTTTTTTTTTATTCTCATCTATTTCAATTATGTAGCAGAGTTCTAACAGAAAGAAAAATATACTACTGTTCGATTGTTTTATAAACGTTGAGCGCTTAAAGAAGAACCAATATTAGCATGAACTAGTCTTGTTTCAATTTTCTTGCAAAATAGAAGGTCATGACATTTTACTATTGAGACTTGCAACTTTCGTTTATCGATAGTTCTCCACAAAGATTACTGAAAACTATATTTTTTTCGCATGTAACTAATTTGAAAATATAAAAATACTTTTTCATTGAATTTTAAATGTAAGAAAAGTCATTTTAGAATAAATCTCATCTTTTATGACAACTTCCAAAATTTTATTGTATAATACTTATTCTTTTGAGAGTAGGCAGCCGTCTATTATAGAACAGGAATCTAGCTAATGAATCTATGTCAGAAGTTAAGATAACGTATTAATTACATTGAATATCGTAATTCAACATTAGCATAATATGAAGTTAATTGAAAACGATAAAGTTCCATTGAACGAGATTCCAACAAGTACCACTCGAATAAGTAATATTCAAAAACAAACATGTGCGTGCCATACATAAAACGTCAGATGTCGATTTTCTAGTTGATTTAGTCTCATTTTGCAAGAAAAAAATCAATCGATGATCGTAAAATATGAGGAAGTGTCAGAAATGAAGTTCTGTATGAGTATTTTAAAAGTATGAAAGAAAAATACACATAAACAATCAATATTTCGATTCACGAGTAAATGAAAGAATACTTAGTTCTATGTTTTCTCTTCATTTTTCGGATCCATTTCAATCTCATGATTGACATCTCATTGATAATAGAAGATATTAATCGAGATATTTATTTTCGTCAAACTAAAATTCAATATCAAAGTATATGCAGTCCAATGTCTGTCTACTCAGCTGATATGTGAGACTTTGATTAACATAAAGAAAATTCAATCGTCTAAATAGTAGAATCTTTTAGAAATGAGCACATATTTTTTAAAGAAACACTTTAGACTATCGTAATCTTTATAGCTGCAATTTGCTATTTACATACATAATCTTAAGTTTATAAGGAAATTACAAAGTTTTTTTAGACACCAATCCGACATATACTCCTCGAAAAATTTCTCGACGACCAATATTCAGAAACCTTGAACAGTATGTTCTCATCTGGTTCACTGTCGAAAGTTCAACATCGGAGAATATTCAAAGACAAAACGCCTTACGATCTATGATAGATTCCTTACTGATTTTCGATAATTTAGTTGAAGCCGAACATAATATCAAGGAGAAGAAAAATCAAACGATATTCGTTATTGTCGATGGTGACATCGGTTTGCCATTAGTATCATCTGTTCATCATCGAACTCAAATAGCAGCTATCTATGTTTATTCTAAAGATGTTCAACGGCATCGTCTACTACTACAACCAATAACAAAAGTTGGTATTTCTGTGTCATATTTACTCTCTCGACTGGATTAATACTATCCATCAGAAATTTCAATGAACGAAAGCAAATTTTTCTATTGAACAATGATTGTTAGAATAGATTTCTTAATTCGTATTTCAAAAGATAAACACTATACTGAGAAAGAATCTTTACTGATTCCGTACGTAAGAAAGAAATGTCATTGCAGTAGCAAATGAAAACTTTTCAACAAAATCTGAGTACATAAAAACTTTGATAATTTTTAAAAATTCTCCCTACTGAAAATTGCCTTGCAATGATGGTAAATTATATGATTAAAAGAAACTCTGCTATTAGAGGATTCGAAACAAAACCATCTATCTCATCTGTCTGTCTAACATAAAATCATGCGGAATTTGATCGGTCGAACAATTGACCCATCAAGGAAGTTGTTGTTAGGTATTGCTCATTTGCTTCTGATTTTTTTAATCTACGCAAAATCAACGATTCTAGCTTCTTGTTTTCTCAAGATCATCGATTACAAAATTTCATTCAAAAAATCGCCTCATCATGACCAATTACTCCTGTTCTGAAGCTATTTTCGAGTAATTCAAAGTCAATTGATACAAGTCAAAGGTCTTTAGAAAACACTTTTTACTTTTAAATGGAACAAGCTAGAGTCGTTGATTTCTTTTTTTGTAGACCGAAAAATAGCAATGTTCTTCATGAGATGATTATATTTAAAATCAAAAAGTGAACAATAAATGTCTTTGTAATATCGTTCTCAAAATATCGAACAAGAAGTAATTTATTAGTTGATCTAAACAGTAAAACTCGAATGGAAAAACACTGAAATTTCTTTTGGCCAAACTAGATATCGTAAGAGCAAGCAATGCGCACCTATTCCGGAAAGTGTTTTTAGAATGATCAAATTCATTTGCACACACTTGTCACATTCGAAGTTTTTTATATGATTCAAACGCAGAAATTGGCAATCATGACTAAATTAAATAATTTAATCTTTTTCAATGTTATTATTTCGAACAGAAAATGTGTTTTCATTCCTTTCTGATCTATTCTTTTCGTAACTTAAACGATGAGTTTATTAATTGAACTAAAAAAATCTGATTACGTTTATAGGACACTTTTTAAATAGAATTGTTCTCGAACGAGTTTTTTTTTCGCCAATCATACTTACGTAGTGTATAACTTATTTGGAAATAGAGAAATCAAACACTGTTAAAATTTTTCGAAGGTCATTTTGTTATTTTCGAATTTATATAATAATACTTGTATATTTCAGGTCAAATATGTAATCGATGACTTTGATTCTCTTCTGAAACACTTTAAAAAGGATTTATATGCGTATGAAAAATTAGCTAATATTAGCTTTATCACAAAACTAGGCTATTCATCGAACCTATCTCATCTTGATCACTATTATCTAATTCGTTACTGGTCAAACTTTTACGAAACAGATTTGACGAATGAAGGAAGAATACTTATGTTAGAAACATACACGAACCACTACAAAGACAATAAGAATATGTCGAATATATTAGACGAGTTCGAACAGACCATTGGACCAGATACAGCCATCAAGTGGTATACTGGCGAGCATATCATCTATCGTCTATTTAACACAGCCTGTTATACGCATAATTTTGAATTCCTTATTAAATTACAATATTTGATCCGTTGTATTCATATACAACTGCAGCGTGAACATTCATTATTTATTCGACATTGGTCAAACAAGCCCGTTTTTTCTATCTATTGTGGTCGACTAATGACTACTATTGAATTTAAACGTTTCAAGATGTATGTAGGTAAAATTGTATTTATGACAAATTTTATCATGGGAAATTTGAATAAAACAAAGGCTATTCAATATATCAATCGATGTGAACCTTCCGAAAACGAAACTCGAGTACTCTTCAAAATAAACATTGATACACGCGTTACAAAGACACAACCATACGCAGACATTACACATTTAAGTAATGATGATAATGAGCATGAAGTATTGATCATGTTCGGAGCAAGTTTCCATGTAATGGACATTATCATGAATCCACATGATACCTTACCTATCTATGTACTTGAACTTTGTGCCGAGAAATTAGAACCGGTACCACCAAATGAAAGAGAACAAAGATGGTATGAATATGTTGAAAGTTTGAATTGACCGGGTAGAAAAAGATGAACAAAAATCAAGTTAATACGATCATTCATTTAGAATTCTAAACGCCGTAGACAACAAACATGATCAATAGGCCTTTGCTTCCATTGTGTGACATAACATCATCCGTTTGCACGTCGAATTTAACAGATCTTGAACATATGAAAAAACATTCAGAGTTCAATTCGGCTTTTTAAATTAGTTCTTAGCTCTATTTGAGATTCTAGCATTGTACACCAATAATTAGAAAAAATATATTAGATTTATATTGTAGAATTTTAATTGACACAGAAGTTCAAATAAACATCCAAAGCATTGTACTGGGTTAAAAGTACAAATATCAAACGAAAACATGCATTCAAGCATATCATTTGATGAGTGGATACAGGTCATCTTCCCACAATCTATGTCCATACCTATGCTCTTAAAATCAGAACAGTGCCAGCGGTACCCCACACTTATTATAAACACAAGCTACAAGAATTGTCTGATTGATGCACTTGACCACATTAATTGTATTCATCAACATGCAATCGCCAAATAACGCTCAACATTCTAGGATGTAATTGTGGCTCTTTTTTCCACAACCCACCTGCTTTCTGTTTCCCAATTATTCTTGCGTATTTAATTTCGAACAGCTTTCATTCTCTTTCGACATACCATGTCAGTGTGACAATGTAAGTAACAGCAAAGCTCTCATCCTCATTTGCATCACCCTACACAGTCACACCCACATCAAAAACTAGCTCACATACCCATATCAATCTGACATCCAACCCAACACACACGCACGCTTACAGCTAATGCTATAAACAACCCATGCAGGTTCACACACACATGCATAGCCATATTATCCAGAAATCCTGACCATAACCGTACCAACACCTCCACGCGTTCAAGCCACAAAAGAGGCACAATAAATTTGACTTCAAAGCGAACATTGTACGGGCTCAGAAGAACATGTACAGTAGTGGCAAAAGGTTCCGTGACATTTTCGACTTCTTTTACTATATCAATTTTTTCAGCTTTAAATTGCACTATCGGAAAGAGCATAACAAATTGAGCATGGTTTATATGCTTTTAGTTTTGAAATCGTAGGGTATACGTGTTTTCTATAAAGGGCGATTTTATGCAGAAATACATGGTATTCACCGGGGACAGAGACAAATAAGTTCTTTTTTGAATCCATCTTGTAGAGCTAGCTCATTTCTACAAAATGAGACGTTTTGTAGTCATCTGATATGTGAAGTAAATGAGTTATCCGATGTTACAGAGAAGATTTCCAAAATCTCAATATATTTAAACTATTTTCACTCGAAAATATGAATAAAAACAGTTTCTCTATGACAGAGTCGAACAATTCGTTTAGTTCACATTTTAGATGGCTACAAGACGTCTCATTTTGTAGAACTGAAGTAAGTATTACATAATGTTTTCGTAAAAGTTCTCAATGTATTTGATTTTCCATTGACATTTGGTGAACTTACCGAATTTTATATCTGTCGATTTTTAAGATATTCCTACATGACGTTTACTTTTCGAAAAAGTCATATTTTTGAATAGTGTCCTGAAACTGCTTCTACTTAAAAGACTCACACGCGATAACTTGAATAAAAACGTTCAGGATTTGCAGACTTTGTGCTTCCGAAAGAAAAACTTTTCAAAATGTTTTCCTATGGTACAATAATAATATCTTAAATGAATTTCAGTTGACTGAATAAAATTAAAACAAATTAGTTGCAATAAAATATATATTTTGTTTAGCAAGTTTTTTTTTTTTATTTAGGTATATAAACTTTATTTGAATGTTGATTTAGGAAAATCAATAATTATTTTTAAATAGATAATGCGTCAATTTTTTTTGAATATATGTCAATCTTTCTTCAAGTTCTATTTCTAATAAAATTTAATATTGTTGTTTTGATACTTCGTTATTTATTTAGTGTCCAGAAAGTCGTTAACCAAAGAAAAATTTGAATATCTTTATTGTATATGAATGAAAGAAGCTGATTTTTTTCTGAGAGTAAAAGACAGTTTCAAGTTTATATTCGTCAATGAATAGTCCATTCAGGCACATAAAACTAGTAAACTTTTGTTCACTATCTCACAAACGTTTTTCACTTTATTTATTTGTCAAGCTGTATAGCTGATGCATGATATAACAACACTAGTATGAGAGAAATTGTCCTTCATTATCCAAGTAATCATAAAAACTTTGGACAGCAATAGTTAAACTTAGCGGATGATTTAGTTTTTAACACAAAATCACAATAGTAGAACTATTTATAGATGGTTAATAAATCTTCATCAAAAATGTTTACTGATATCGTGAACAAAGATTTGCTGATTTTATATGTATAAAAGTAATGTTCATGAATGAATAAAACTTTGAAACTATCCTTTAACCTCAAAAACAAAAATCAACTCATTCCATTGAAGTACAACAAAGATATTCAAATTTTTCTTTGGCTAATGACTTTCTGGACACCATCTCTTTATATAGATATAAATGGTTGCTTTTTGTTCAATCATCACATATCGCATCTCAATTGTTATTGTACTCTTTTCAATGTTTCAAAGATTTATTCTTAAAACTGGCACAGCAACTTTTTATTTTAGAGTTTGGAAAAGTTTTCTTTTATCCTGAAAAGTAAGTCTATCTCCTGTAGAGATTAAATCTTTCCTAATTATATTCATGATCAAATGGATTTAACGAATATATTAATTGTTTGATAAGTTAGATGTTTACACATATTTGAAATAAAATTTGTTTGACGGTCTCTCTCATCTTTCGAAAGTATCTTTTGTAAAAACTAAAAAAAAACATTCCAATAAAGCGATTTCGTTCACTTTGATTGAAAGACAATAAAAAATGATTCTGATAATCAAATATTTATCTTATGCTGATCAAAATTCTAAGGATTAAATTGTCCAATATTTCAGTCTTATTTTACAACTTTGCCAATTGATCTATTTATCCAAACCTATGAAAAAAGGTATATTAAGTATCAAAATATAAAATTAGAGTTACAATTTACGATCAATGACCCTCGAAGAATATCAAGCACAACATTGAAAGAAACTCTTAAATGAACATAAATGCAAGAAAATCTCCGAATAGCTTTAAAAAAAAATCACCCTCACATTCACATTCTGTATTCATCATTAGCCAGATATTCTACTTAGACTATTTTACTGTGGATAGTCAATTTAATCGAAAAAAGAGCTCCATGATTGCACTGTCGACAAGTTCTGTCAAGTATAGATATGATTGCGCTAGTGGTGTAGTGGTATCACGTGGTATTAACGAGACTGAGATCCCGATGAAACATTCAGCAAAGCTGCGATATTTTAAACATATTCTCAAATTTTCTAAATCTACTAACAATGATGAGAATTATTGAATAACCGAAGGGTTCGAATCTCGGCTAGCGGATTGATGTTCACATTTTCAATTCTTTGAGAATTTCATTCTCTTGCTATTTCTGTTTTTCGTTTAAGTAATATGCGAACAAATTCTGCACGTTTTTTTTTATGAGAGAATAAAATATATTGCAGCACACATCTCGATGATTATGAAATTCTGCATGAATAAAGAACCATAAGTGAAATAGAAAAAACAATGCGTCTTTCATACATCCGATTGGGCGGATGAGACAGGAAAAAAATTTTTTCCAGCTACAAGGTGCCCGATGTATATTTATACGATAAAAAAACTCAATATCTCAAATTATCGTCCAGTAATGAGACTAAATCTTTGTCTCAGTGATAGAAAAGACTTCAAAGTTTGTTTTTTTTTCATTAGAAAATTGTTAATTATCATTGTTGACTTTAATAAATAAATGTAGCCTTTTCAGATGACTCAAAAAATGATTTTCGAGCGAGAATTATCAGATGATTAGTTGCTTTTGAATCTATAGTTTACAGAGTAGTAGAAGGTCATGAGACTAGAAGAACTTCCAAAGGCTTTGCGCTCTTAAATTTTGATCCAGATATTAAATTCTTCTAACTATTATTTCAGTGTCTATCTAAGAAAAAATCAAAGCAATAACCGATTGAATTGAAACTTACAGATTTGATACAGTTTTCTTCAAACTACAAAAATTATATTGACATATTTATTTTCTAACCCGTCTTTGCCGACATATAGTCGATGTAACAGAAAAGTACTCGACGAGTAGTACACTTTCATGTTATGCCAAACTTATCTCGATAAGAAATGATTTGAAAGTCAAAGTGTGAGCGTAATTATGTAGTCTAAAAAACCTGCAAGGTTTCAATTTAATTTGTCTTTGTTCAGAGTTTTGCTTGGATAAAAAAAATGAAGTACTTGAGCAAAGTACTTTTCTGGTTTTGATGAGAAAACTCTCATATTTTGAAAAATTCCTAATTCGAAATGAGACCCTTATGCGGGTTAAGTTTCGTGTCAAACGACGATTTCATTGAAAAGTTGGGCTCCTAGATGTATGAATTCAATAATTCAGTCAAAATTCAATAAGAGCACAAACTCTTTAGAAACTATTATTGTCTAGTGATTCTCTACTATTGGGTGAATATTTTTCTTTGTTTTGATTATTTTTAAAGTTGAGATTTAACTCGAGCAATAGCCCGTCGAATTTTCTACAAGATAAAACAGAAATAGGAAAAGAATAATATTCAATACACATTAATTCTATATGAGAGTGTTGAGAAAAGAATTAGATAAATGACACCTATCTATCGAGAGGTCCTTTGTATTATTTCTGTGCCAGTGAATGTTGCTATAAGTGACTATTTTTGTCAGAACAAAGTCATGAGGGTGCGACCATAGCTGTATGTGTGGGAGTGGATGAAGCTACGACTGAAGATGCACGTGAAAAGAATGTTCCTCTACACACACATACACTCTTACGATAAGCAAACGTGGCTTGTTTCATGTGGACTGTTGCCGTTCGAGTCTTCTTAGAACATGAAATTGCGAAGATCGAACCACGTTACGTATGTGTTTTGTTTATGCAAGATAAGAACGAGAAAAAAAAAGAAATTTATAAGCCTGGCAATAACCACTCCCGTAGTGCATAGTAGAGAATTGATTTAGTGTTAAGTTACCGCATGCCTCAAATGAAAACATACATTTCTTTCAAATTGAATAATTACAAAATAAGTCTATAAAGAACGCGTTACTTCTACTATACGACTGCATGCTTATTGCTGGTGATGATAACAACAGCAACAATCCACTTCTGACTAAGTCGACTTCTTTAATATATGCTGTTCTTTAGTCTTATGGCCAAACTGAATATTTCCTTTTGGCTACAAATATAGCTGAATTCTCGTGTAACGTACACCATAAATATTTAGGTAAAAACAAAGATATGCAGTGTAGTTGTGAGGGTATGGATGTGGATGAGTGCGAGAGAAAATAAGATCCACATCGACTCCCAGACACTATACTCACACTCATCAACAAACTACTCAAAAGATGCTATGATGTCGACGATGGACTCTTAATTGATTTTCTGCTCGGTTTCATTGAATTTATTGCACATGAGAACACGCAGAAAAGACAACACCAGGCACGATTGTGTGAAGCTGCTTTCAGAGTTTCTATGGCTGTGGTCACAGCATCACCGAAGATGACTTAGAGTCACGAAGTACGAAGAGTGGTAACGATGAGTAGCAGAAATATATTATCGAAGTTTCGTTTAGTTCCGGGCTCTAATCTAGAGCACCTAGTTGGAATAGGAACCGTTGTTGATGAAGAGTAGTAGTATAGAATGATTACTCAAAAGGTTGCCAGCGGTGCTATCAGAGCAGTTATGCTAATAGTAGCTATTGGTAACGTCTGGCTTTATGCTAATGTATAGAAGACATATAAGAGGCATAGAAAAAATAGCGGGAATCACCAGAGAGTGTTAGCAGGAACTCCAGTGTTGAAGCCGTTTAGAAGAAGTGAACAGATAAAACTGATTATTCATTTTTTAAATATCTTTTAGAAATAAAACTCGTGGTAAAATTTTAGAGCGACGTCTGTCGTTACAATCGAAACAAAGCTTAACTAAGTAGATATAGTTCGACCCGATCATTGTCACTAGTTTACAATTTTTCTTCAAGAAACGACTACCGGAGAGAGTTGAAGCACGAAAGTTTTTGTGAGCCCGAAAAATTCAAAAGCTAATTTTTTTTTGTAAAAATTGAACATCCGGCGGAAAGAAAGTCGCTTTTGATCGTCGAGAACAGGATCAAGCACGATGCGAATTATGTCTAAGCACAGCGCACACTTTCGAAACGCAAACTTGTTTTCAAAGTTAGAATAGACAATTCTTTTTTTGATTTGAATAACAAGAGTTGACTTACTTGGTCTTAAAAAAGTACGAAAAATCAGTTTTCTTCTCTGAAAAAACTTACAAAATGCCGTTTTCGACTCCTCCTTTTTTACATTCTCCTTTTCATGATTCAGAATATTTTTTTCTTTGCTCTTTGCTGTCTTTGTCGACGATAACCTCAGTCTTCTTTTGTTCGTTTTCTATTTCGATTTTTCAACCATCGTTCTGTCAGAGAGATAAATTTTTGCATTCTAACTCCGAATTGGTTTTTCGATTTTGAACAGGTCTACATCCGGTTTTTCTACTATCGTTTTCTGCTATTACATCACCTAGACGTTCATTCTCGTTCATCATTGTTTGTGATTATCATCATGGGTCTATGTTTTTTTTACGATCGATTATCCTCATTATTGCATTCCGTTCTCTACATTCTTTATAAACATACATTTACACGCTTACACAACCTGATCATCCAATTCAGATTACTTTAGTGCACTGGCATCAAGCTTAGATTCAGTGTTTTAAGCGGACTAGAAGGCTATTATAGTAGTTGTGAGAAAAAACTAGCTTGTTCCGTCTTTAAAAAGCTTCAGCCAGGCAGGTAATGTTTCGTGTTGTGAATACGAAGTGAAAATAATTGTATTCTTCTTCTTTTTCCTTCGTTTCTCTTCGTAAGCATGAATATGTACACATCATTAAACTCACCTTTGTGTGCGTCACTATTATTGATTCATACCTCGTGCATGTGTGTATACATGTTTGTTCGATCACAACAGTAAAAGGAGGGAATAAGAAAAAAAAATATTATCGAGTTTTTGTTTTTGTACTACCTTTGCGTTTTGATATGAGTGATGTGAATGAAATTGAAAAACATGTATTTCTCCGAATTTGATCATATATGTGTTTAATTCTAGACGAATAAATTATGCAGCTCGTCTTTGCCGATCATCCGGTTCCCTCCACTGTTACCAAATCAATTTTCTTAGCGGGTCCATCTCCGCGAGACAAAAGTGTCCTTGATTGGCGTCATGAAGCTCTCTCGTGTCTCTCCTCCTCACCAATCAATTACGATGGATCTGTTTTCATTCCAGTTCCTGAGCAGCGTTTCTACGGCACAGATCATAATCCTTCCACATGGACCTACGACAATCAAATTTCATGGGAATGCGAATGTCGTCACGTAGCTGATTTGATTGTCTTTTGGATTCCTCGTCACATCGACGGACAAATGCCGGGATTTACCACGAATGTGGAGTTCGGTGAAGATCTTCATTCCGGCAAAATTGTCTACGGTCGTCCTGAGAATGCTGAAAAATGTCATTACTTAGATAAACGTATGAAAGAATTGAAATTACCCGTTTTTACTTCGTTAACAGATACACTTCGTCATGCTGTGTCTTTACTTGGCATGGGAGCATGCCGAAAAAATGGCGAAGTTTACGTTCCACTATTCATCTGGGAAACAGAACAATTCCAGTCATGGTATTCCAATCTGAAACTAGCAGGAAATCGTCTGGAGAAAGCAAAGCTATTACACCATGTCAAGTTGAATAGTCATAGACAAATCTTCTCCTATGTGCTGTGGGTCAAAATTTGGATTGAAGCAGAGAAGCGGTATAAAGAAAATGAATTCGTCTTCGCTCGTAAAGATATCAGTACAGTTTTAGCTTATTACAAAGATAATGACGAGGATATTAAGATTGCTATAGTCAAAGAGTTTCGTAGTCCTGTTAATAACTCAGATGGCTTTGTCTACGAGCTACCTGGTGGCAGCTCGTTTAGTCCGAACACGGATCCACAACTCACTGCTAAACACGAACTAGAGGAAGAATGTGGTATAATCATTAAGGATGTGTCACGTTTCAAGTATGTTGGACAACGACAATTGGCTGCTACATTATCCTCACATCGAGCACAGCTCTATAGTATTGAGCTTACGAAAGGAGAATATGAGCAAATGTTGAAGAACGAAAAAAGTGAGAGAGCATTCGGAGTAGATATGGACAGTGAAAGAACTTATTTGAAGATGATCAGTATTTCACAGCTACAACATAGTTGTCTCGATTTTTCAATGCTTGGAATGATCTATCATGCATTGTATTTGAATAATCAAGATTAAATATAAATTAATATAAGCACGCTTCTAAACATTCTGAACAATGTGTTAAATTTTGCTATTTTTTACAGTATTGTATCATCTGTGGTCTACAGCGAGCTCACTTTCCTACAAATATTTTAGCTGTCTTGAAGAAAAAGATAGTTTTCTCTTCGTCTGCTTTGTGCTTCACTCTAAATATTCATGATTCTTATGGTTAATAAAGCTTACAAAAGAAAAGTTCAGTTTTGATTTTTTCATCTCATGCGGGACCTCTATTTCTTTCACACACTGTTGCTGAAAGCACCGATTTTATTCTCATAATTTCATTTTATTTGACCACTATTTTCTTGTTGGTAAGGTACTGTAGTAACACAACTGATGCAAATGGCACAGTATAGCTGAAATATGGTCCACTTACAATATGACTCAAAGCAAAGAAAAGCTAATTTGAGCTCATCCTATAGACTATACGCTTGTGTTTTTTTTCATGGACTCATTTAGTATTTACGTTTTTATAAACCAAGAAATTTTAATTTAAGAGCAGTGAAAGTGTATATGTAAGGAATGATGCAGGGCATTGTTTTTATTTCTTCTGTGCTTACCCGAGACGCGAAAATCTTCTTTCTGCCGAATCTGAGACATTCTTATAATTTAAAGTATTGTGGAACGACTTCAGTGTGTGTCGAATGCGGATATATGCTGAGCGGTTCAAGTTTATCATTTTAGCCTTGATTATGTTCATATTCGTATCAAATTATTTGAATTTCTATTTAGATTTTTAATATTATATAAAATTAATTAATGTTTTTTTTCTTATTCTCGTTCAAAAAGATATTTGTCATGAGATTTTTGTTAAGCTATATTTTCCAACCTCAATTTGTTATAGATGAAAGTTGATTTCACACTACTAATTTATCTCGTTTATTACAGAATCATCACAGCTATATATAGGATAAGGAGCAACCCCCTATGTTGAAAATATCCGTACAAGATATATGAAAACTTCTAGCGGGCCTAATATTGGAAAATATCTAACGAATATAAGTATAGGAAAATACCTAGCTAGAGAACAGAAAGAGAACGTGACATGTGTATGACAGAAAAGAATGACACATATAACAGTAAGAAAGAAGAAAGAAGATCCCACCCATATATGATGATCATAACGACAACGGAAGAGATTCATATCACCACCTAACATTTCAATAAACAATTTTATTTTTATTTTTTTATTTTCAAAATAACTACTTAGATATTGAATAGTTAAAGTTAGAATCAAATATTGAAACAGTTAAATTTGAATATAACCAAAACTGTTGACAAAATACTAGCCAAATCAATATTAAGTATCACCTGAAAACCAATGAAAAGATCAACACTAATGATTTCTCTTAATAAAGCTATTAATAGATCATTTTATCATATTTATTTAATAACAATATAGACACATTCAATCATGGATGGAGACCTTATTATCGTCTTGTAAATCTTATGTTACTCATGCTATATAATACATTGTTAGTCATGTACAAGAAGTTCTATGAAAGCAAAGTGTCCATCATGTTCGAAAGCTTGTTTTTACTATAATAATATGACCTACGATCTTACGTGGGATACTTCAAATACTTTAAGCAGTAAAATATTAGAAACATGAAAGAAAGATGTTTCTTTTCACAAGTTTGACAATTGTTTTTAATAATTTTCTTCATCAAAAAGGGTTGAAAATAAAATCCAAGACATTATTTTGATGTCTTGTAAAAAAAACTCATTAAGTCATAGTACCCTATATAAGTTTAGAGCAGTTAAATTTTTGTTTTCTTCTTAATGCTAATAGCTAGCAAAAATCTAAAAAAATTAACATTTTTAAAGCTGAAAGGACCCTCTTTCATGATTAATAGACCGAATACTCCAAAAAATTGCTTGGGTGAGAATCTGCAAAAGAGCAAGACTCTCAAAGCCAACTTTTGACGTTTATTCGACGCTTTTTGGAAAATATTTTATTTGTTAGAGCAAAACAAGAAGGTTCCAAAGCGCCAAACATGGCAAAAAAAAAGAAATTTTCAATAAAAAGAAAAGAAAAATGGTTTTCTTAGCTGACTTTAAAAGAAATGCAATTCGATGAAGAAAAATCATGAAAAAGTCGGAGACATTGTATTTTGCTGAGAATTATTTGCTCTCAAATAATAGTGTTGATTCTCCGCAGACCTTCATCCAAGAAGTTTTGTTCGAGTCGTTGGGCCTACCGATACCGATCGTGATAGAGAATCCTTTTAGCTACATAAATGTCGTTTGAGATTTTTGATAGCAATTACCACCAACAAGATGACTTAAAAACACAACTGCTTTAAACTGTTTCCGGCACTATATTTATCTTATTTCATCAGTTTTTAGTAAGACATTAAATAAGAAGGGTTATTATTTAAATGAATAAATATGATTATTAAAACCAATATGACCTGCCAATAAAACAATGAAGTACTTTTTCTTGGCATGCTGAATAACACAAAGAGAAATTCTTGCGCATCTTCAATACAGATAGTTTTTATGTGACAAATCAGTCTGCCATTTTATTATGCTGAATATGGCCAAGACATAATTCATTGTTCTCTGAGATCACTGGCAAAGTTCGATAGATTATTTCATTGACTTAGATATTTAATAAAAACAACAAAAAAATCAAGATTGTTAATAACGGGTTGCAAGTCGAGTGTGAGTGTGGGTCACTGCAGATGATCACGTCTACACCTAACAACCCACACTCACATCACACCTCACATCCACACCCATAATTCATACCCCACACCCAAAACAAGACATCCATACCTTTTATGATGTATACGACTTTGTGTGATAAGTAATGAAATCTTATCTTATCAAATGCATGAGACAACTGACTCAAGCAAACAACCAAATTTTGTTTTCTAATGTGACCATTTTAAACATGTTTTTGCTTCATCGTTGGATATTTCAAAAGACGGATACACCAGAAGATGTGCATCAAAACAGATGTGTCTTGTACGAGAAACATAAACCACAGGACGAAAGCAGTAACTCAATCAAGCATCGACAATATATTTGTGATTTAAGCTCACGTTATCCATATATTGATATTGGATTAGACAACTCAATACTGCCCCAACCCTTTGCCGTTTCAATATTATTGAATGATAAAACCTATGACATGCTGTAAGTACTATTTTGAATAACAGGTGAAATAAATAGCATCGTTCAATTTTTAGCATCAATGATTATATTCAGACGGCTGATATATTGGAACAACTAGTTTCACTTGGTGTACTCATTCGAGAAGATGCCGCACGCGCCTATTTAAAAAGTTCTGATGGTCATCAAATGTTTGAGCTCGAGCAAAAAATCCCTGTACAGTTCGACAATTGTCGACTTATCGTGCAAAAAAGAGAAAGACCATCGGACACAATCTGCATTTCCATATTGGGAATCGTGGATAAGGATGAACTTATCGAAGCTCAACTACAAGACACGGTTACCATACTGAAACTCAAAATTTTGATTTATTTTTCTATTCGACCAGATCGTTGTTCTCTCGTTTTTCGCGGCGAACCACTTCACGAGCAGCAAACATTGATTGACTGCAACATTCGACATGGATCTAGAATATTTTGCTGTCGAGTGTAATAAGAAGCACGCATTTTTTACAAAGAATGAATAAAATCACCTAAAGAAAACGGAAAAATCCCATATTGTAGAATGAAAATCTCTACTAATCGTCTGGTTGAGGGTGTTAGTGTAGATATAAACATTCTCCAAATCCGTAACAACATACGCACGTTCTCGCAGATATGATTTGTCATACAAAATATTTGCTTACGTTGTGAAGCCTCCTTGATGATAACACTGAACGTTTTGCCTAAAATGAAACCTCACTCGCTAACAAGTTCTGAAGTACAACCAAGGAAATACTCAATGATTGAGACCCAAAACTTCAAACACGTAAAATCTAAAAATGTTTCGTGTTTGTTACGCGTAATTAGATTTGACTTGTTATTGTGTTTTATTCGTCTGTGCTGTAAAGCAGCGTTTTTAACACTGATGTCGTCAGGTTTTTATTTTATATTCTTTCATCATCAAATATACAGTCTTGGAAAATGTAGTTTGATAGCATCATTCAACATCAGTCATATTACGTAGGTTTTATACAATGTATTCGGTTAGGATTTGACTAGAACGCTTTAATTTGTTTTATATACTGGATATGCCTTCTAACTTTATTTCTGATGATTTCATTAAGATAAACTTTTTGGGATTGATATGTTGAAGGACTATTTTTCTAAAAGACTTATACAAACTAAATGTCCTTAAAATTGACAGTAATAAGATTTTTGTATTCAGAAATGTCGCTACTGATCTCTGAGTACAAATATATCATGACGAATTGAACAATTGCTTGAATTGCTAGCATTATGCATAATTTCTTGTTCTTACGACATGAATGTTTGCCAGATTATTATCATGTTATCAAACTGCTATTGTATAGGCCTACCTTTCAAACCATATTTTCTCGCATCAATTTGCCGTCTCTTCCATCTCAATAAGAATAAAAGACATTTCGAAATTGGCAAGAATGTTACGAACAATGCTCGATGTCGAAGTGTTGGTTGTAGACTTGTCGTTGAACAAAGTTGATTCACAGTCACTCAAAAAAATATTATGAAACAATTCTTGGGAGCTTCATATTGAAATGAATCGATTACTTCACCGAAAAGAAATTTTTTCGTATGTAAGCGACTCATATTGTCCTTGACGCATAAGAATTGTTCTGAAAATAAGTTTCATGCACATGGTGTACAGAATGAAATGTAATATGCCTGCTGATTTATGCAAATGTGAGAAAGAGAAATCGAAGCGATACTTTATACTGTAGGCACGTTTAACAGAAAAAGCAACAGATGAAGGTGAACACTAATGCCATATTGTTGTTTTTTTTAATCAAAAATCACTTGCTTCATCTTTTTTTAATGGAGAACACATTAGTGCCATATAAGCTTTACTTCTCAAGTTATCACAACTGATGTAGTATTTCTCTACTTGTTTGTGTTGTAGCACATAAGCGTTATCTTCGTCGAGCAACTCAATGATTGGTGTGAGTGGGGTGTAGACTTTGATTTTCTTTTCATTCACACTCCAGAAATCATGCCGAGTTTCACAAGGTCACTACTCTTAATATTCATCACATTTGAGTTTGTCAAAAGTAATCCAGCACGCAGTGTGAAGTAGATCCGTGTGACATGTCGAGGATTAATGAAACGTGATGATACTGACCTCACACGATGTCGCACACACTCATGATCGGTTTTAAATTTTTATTAACTCTTGTCCAAAATCATATTTTTTTCATATTCATTTTATTTGATATATTTTACAAAAAAAGAAATGCGAAATAAGACGCTTGATTTTTCTCAGACTAGCACAATCGGTTCCTTCATTATTATCTTCCATCTAAGAAGTAAACAGAACAGAGATATTAACAATAGAAAATAATTAATGCTTCTGAAAAGTCCAGGATTAAAGTTTCCAGGTGGCGGAGATTGTTCGCAATATTTGCCACTATCTGTGTGATTGATACAATCCCACGATAACGTATGACTTTTATCCATTCGTAATTTTAGTCCCGTAACATTGACAAGTTGCTTCGAAACTGTAGTATTCGAGAGCATTTGTTTGCCATCAACAGTAAAAGTTGCTGGCATATGATCAAATCCATATATCACTAGTGAATCTAATATTAAGTTTGACATATGAGCATAGTTGCTTTCGACAACATTCATTTTCAATTGCCGATCCTGTGAAGACCATTGGAACGTCGCGTAATAGTAGGATTTTGATTCGATCGTATCAATCGATTCACCATCATCATAGAATAGTTCACCTTCGGCATTTCCATTGGCATTCAATACAATGATCAGACCAAATGGTTTCTCTCTAGTATCAAAATGAGAAATCCATGTAGGTAACAGAAAATCATCTTTCCACTCACCGAGAGTATTTTGTGTTATTTGCTGGCTCTTGAGTAGGAATGATTGCACCACCTCGTAGAAAAATTGGAATCATATTCAATGGTGCATCTAATATGATAAATTGCTTTTCAGACGACATTCGAACACCTGTATAGTAATCGTACCAATCCGACGAAGGTATATAGGCTTGAACTCGTCGAGAACCATCATCGGTTACTGGTGCTAACATGATGTGCTGTCCGACGAGAAATTGTAGAAAGATATCGAGTGTATTTTTATCTGTGGGATATTCATGAAATAATGGACGAATCACTGTTGAACCTTGAGTATGAGCTTTGTAGAAGAGTGTATAATAGTAAGGAAGAAGAGTATAACGAATACGAAGAGCCAAAGCCATAATTGCTGTAGCTGACGGCGACCAAGCAGCAGGATCTTGATCAGGTGTCTTCCAGATATTATGCTAGATGATCAATAAAATCGATATCATCGCAATGGAAAATGATACAATGTGCTTACATTTCGAGAGAATGGATAGAAAGCTCCGACTTGCATCCATCTAAATGACAACCAGAATTGTCAAAAATAGAGCAAGGAATTTGTTCAGATTTCTTTCTCTTACCGAATACACATTTCTTCAGTAGGTGATTTATCAAAGCCACATATATCTGCGCCATTAAATGGAATGCCAAACCAATTAAATTCTATCATTCCAATCAATGATTGTTTCATCTCAAGCCATGAAGCTTCATTATCACCTAGCCAATGGCCACCCCATTGACCCGAACCAACAAAAGTCGATCGAGGTAATATCATACTTCGTTTACCAGTAGCTGACTGTATGGCATCTAATGTAGGTTTCGTCTGAGACCATCCATAGAGGCTAGAAAGACCAAGAGTATATTCTTTGAGCACAAAGAAACTAGGCGAACTCATACCTGTGTACATCATAATGGCGATATTTGGGTTTTCCAGTGCTGGGATCGATTTCACCCTGCAGAGCGGTCATGCACAGTGTGCGATCAGAAAGACGACCAGTACGATTCATCGTTTCATCATAACGAAATGCAGCCTTAGTGCGATAAGGGGGATCGTCCAACTTGTTTTGCGGACATTTTAATGTATAATTCGTGCCGGTCATATTCCAATTCCAAGCAAAGTCATCGTTTGTATTGAAAAGTGCTGCGCAAAATAATCTTCAGCTCATATAGGATATCATGTGAAGAATACTTACCTGGTTCATTCATATCGATCCAAAGTCCATCGACTGTCAAGTTAATACGATGAAAGTCTTGGATCCAACGTGACCACCATGTTCGAGTTCGATTCGTAAAGAAATCTATTTTGTAAAAAAAGAAGCACATTTGTATTTCATCGCTGTCTTTATCTTGAGAGATAATGATTTACCTGGCATAAAGAGTTCTCCGGGCCAACAAATACCTTTCATTAATCTTTCATTTTCCCATTTAATAAAAACATCTTCTTTAATACCTTCGATGGTTGGTACATAGTACTTCTGATCATCGATTGTGCCTGGATCCAATATAACAATCGTTCTCATTCCATCAGTACGTATTTGAGAAAAAAATTCTTTCAGTCCACGATAATTAATCGGATCGATAGTAAAATCTTTTTTTGCGTCCATATAATCGATATCTGCGTATTGAACATCAAGTGGAATGCCTGCATCTCGATTTCGTTTGTTCACCATTTGCATATGTGTCAGATTTCCATAATCCAATCGAGACAAATGAAAACCAAGTCCCCAATACGGTGGCAAAAATGATCGACCAACAAGCCATGTATATTGTTGAATGACCTGTTCAGGTGAAGGACCCAGAAAAACGAAAAAATCGAGAATACCACCGATGGTTCGAATGGTCAACGATGGTTCCGGTCCAAATGAATAATCCATGGCATTTGAATTAAGTAAGAGAACTCCGTGCATTTGACCCGATGGAATTTGAGTTTTGTTCGATGTTTGTTGCTCCATCACAAGATAAAAAGGATGAGTACCGTAGTGATTCGCATTCGCATCCCAATTTATAGCTTAAAAAAATGAAATCTTTTTTTATTCGCTTGATTCAAATGAAAAATTGCAAAATAGTCAAGACATTTTTTTTCTACGGCTAACCTTGATCTCGAGCGAAGATACCCCAAATTTTACGCTCTATGATATTATGTTTAAGTGTCTCATGATTGTTTTCTCCAAAACCGTAAACATGAGGAGATTGAAGTCGAGTGACAATTTGAAGAAATTGGTTATTTAGAACAAGACCACCTATTGATGTGTCGAATAGAGTAGTCGAATTAGTACGACGTCTTATTCTAAACGAAAAAAGATTGTCACGTGTGTTATCTGTTGAATAAATGAATTCATATAGTGGTAATGACGCTTGACCAGACGAGGCTGTTAATGAAATTGGAACCTAAACGAGAGAGAAAAAAAATCTAATCCGATAAATATTCTTTGTCAATCTTACTTCATATCGTGGATTATCAGCATCATACAATTTAAATCTGACTATATCGTTAGTATAGTATTGAATATCGAGTAAAATATTTTCAATAGGTTCTGGAAATGGACTTGCTATGGCTTGATTTCGTTGTAAACGTAATCGAATTCCAGTAGGTGTTTGTTGTACATCTTGTTTTAATAGATAACCATAAGTAGGTCGTAGATAACATTGAATAACACTTGAATTTGCCATATCGTCGAAAAGACAATTACGAGCAAGACAGGCATCTTTTGAAAAATTCGAATATTTTGATTCAGCTTCTGGATAACAATCGATTCGATCAGTGACTGCTGCTGCTGCTTGGCGTTCGCTACGACTAGGATGACCAACGACGGATATGATTACAATGATGAATGTCAAAAGAATTAAAGAATAGCGTGGAATTCTCATTCTTTGGCACTGATGCAGAACCTACAGAAAAATAACTTCATTAGAAGCAAACTCCATCTTTTGCACGCAACACAGAGTTTAGATTAGGACTCGTCTTTTTTTTGCATATTTGACTGACCTTTTATGTTATTTTCAACTTTAAAACAAGGAAATCTGAGATTTATTATCATTTAGTTGGAAGAAATTTTTTTTTAATCTTTGCTTGAATTGAAAGCAGTTTTTCGTTTTGATAGAAATTGTGACAATAAAATGCTCACCCTATTAAAGATTGTCTCTCTTCGTTTTTTTCCATATTCTTTGATTGGAACCATTTGCATTATTTTTCTTTTTAGTTATAGCTCATTAATGATTACGTTTAAATAGTTAAGAAATATTTCAAAAGCACATCTGATCAATTATATATAGTCTCAAAGTAAAAATAGAGAAAAAAATGCACTTATTTTCATCAATTTAGTTTGCTACCTGAAATATTTTTTGCCCGTAGGCGTCACGATAAAATGTTGATATCAGACAAGGGCATAACTATTGTCTATTTTTGGAGACATTCTCGATTGATACGAAAGGTAAGTGAATGAAAATATCAATCAGCGCCATTACATACCTTTAATTAATAGAACAAAAATGCACTCGTATGGCCTTTACTTTTCAAAATGTGATCTAATCATGATGATGCAGAAGTAAACAGCGATGGAGTATAACAATCGCAAGAGATCTTGAATATCATCGAGTATTAAAGGCATTCTTGTCCTCACTTGTTGTTTAGGTATTTAAAAAGATCAGCCGCAGAAAGCTTTTTTCATAAGTTTCATGGAAAATTTTGCGTTTATTTTTTCTTAGACTCATTTTGGTGTAACATTCATGAATTCGAATAATGTCAAGCTTTTCTTTCTAGTTATTTGCAAAATATTAAGCAAAAACTGAAATTTCTCGATTTGTTGAGAATTTATCGTCTTATGTATTCGACTTTTTCGTATATCGTCAACGAGTTTCATTTTTAAGCGTTACCCAAACAGTCATGTTCGAAAACAATATAAACCATCAGACTTTTGATGAGATCCTGCTTTGCACAGAAAAGGGTATCGCTCTTCTGAATTCCCAAACTCACACCCACAGGCAATCTAATTATTCATTATAAACATGAAACATGATTCCAATGTTTAAAGAGAGACATTCACCAAATATGGAATGAAACCTTTAAAACAACACCAATCGTTAACACAAAATTCATTGTCGAAAATTGCAACAGTCTGAATATGACAAAAGAACTAGTGCGTAGACATTCAATTCACATGACATCAATGCTTGCTAAACGAAATGGTGCTGAATAAAACACATTATAATTTTTTTTTTATGCAATAGTAAGATATAGACTTACATCTTATATCTAGAGATCTATTTTCCATATATCATCATACTTTTTCTTGTGTTGTAATTATTTGAAAAAAAAATAAAAGCTTAAACATGATAGCTCATTAGACAATAACACAAATCGAACTAAACACTATTATCGAATCATGCAAAATAATCATTCGTCAGAAATCATATCGTTTACTTTATGAAGCATGCAAGATTTCTCCGAGTACTTCAAACGTGATCACAACAGCTCCACCACTCGCTTATAAAAAGAACAGATATTGATTCAAAAACCATCTGATGAGATCCTTAAGCAAGATCGAAACGCATCAAGGTTGCTTTGAACTAACTCATACCCTCAACCTATTATTTATCCCTGACTAAGAATTCCGATGCTGTCACTAATCGTTATAAGGTAGCGGGAAGTATTCTACAAGTGTTGAGCAGATACATTTGTCATAATGTTTGTCAAACTCATCCATGGTAATTATTTCGATTTCAGACATGAAATGTTTATCCACTGCTGCATTACTGATGGAGAGTTACTCAACAGATAGTAGCATAATCACTTTGGTTAGAAGTAATGTTCGAAGTTAATATCAGTCTAAGTATGTCTTTTTTATATTTTGATCAAAGACGTCCGAAATTATATAACTACTTAGTTATCCTACGATGTTTTCTACGATTGATGGTTGTACATATGGGTTGATATTGAATGATTATATGGCGTTTATCTTTAGTAGATTTTATCTTGTTTTCTCGCAAACACACCTAGTATGAATTCCACACACTGAAATTCAGAATGTTTTTTTCTTGCCCACTAACTCTTCATTAAAATCACAATTATAGAAGAATAGATGCGACAAACAGCATCAATACTATTGAAATTAATAGTTTTCGTATTGGAATGAATTAGAGAATTAATCAAAGAAAGGATGCTATCTCTCTCGTTATAGCAAATAGTCGATAAGAGTGATTTTTCAAAGAAAAACTAAAACTAATTAGGTATCAAAAAAAAATCAGGTAAAAGTTTTTAGTCGATACAAGCTTAAAACTTCAACTTTTTGAGCTACAATGGGCGATTTTTGATCAAAATAACTTTTTACACACTTGTTTGCATAAACATGACAAAATTGGACACACAAATGAATTTTAAAAAAAGTAGAAAAATATGAACAAGAACATGACTTTTTGTACGTGTTTTGAACAAACCGACAAAGGATGTATAAAAAACGACTAAACGCCGCGTTTTCTGTTCGAAAAACAAAAACTCAGTATGTCTGCTTGCTTGAATATTGATGACTTTGAAGAGCATGCATTTTATTTGTCCATTTCATTATTAGAAACTTTTGTTTTTTTTAAATTTTAGTCATCATTACTCTGGGGAATATCATTAAAATGGTGTGAAATACATTATTTTTTTTTCACCTTTTTTATTGCATGAGACGTGATGAAACACATTTTTCTCATGTGCGCATTCGATTTTTTCATATGCATAGAAGTTTATAAGCTTAAAAAAGACACTTCAATTGAAATCCAATATTTTCAATCAATATAGCAATTGACTGTGCCTCTTACCTATCTTGTTGCGAAAGCAGTAGTGTTTAATTGCTTTTTTTCAATTATCCATTTCAAAGGACACTATTCGTTTCAACATTCACTGTTTTTGTTTGATTTATTCAAAGAAGCCATACTCTCATGGGTATTGATGCAAACATTGTGAAGCTTTGATTATCAGCATTCGAAACAAAATTTTCTAAGCAGAGATGTTCAACAGTCGTAACTGAAATGCAGTGATCACACGGCCAACAGTAATTCGTCAATCGAAAAATTCTTCGTTCGTACTACAGTCTGTAAAAATTTCTCGACAACGTGAACATCGTTCAATTGGCAACTCAAAATCGAAGCAACTGGCAAAATCAACTGGAATCATTCGTATAAAAGTTGGCCCAACAAAGAATCATCGTGACTCAGACAGAAAGTTAACGAACAATAGACAACATTCGGTCAGCTATTTCACTGTTTCAGTTTTCACTACACTTCCTCTTGTGAATAGTCTTTTCCAATAGACGTATTAGAGCATGCGATCGTCAAGCAACCCATACGATCATCGGCCAATCGGATTTCAGTCGATTTAAGAAAAATTGCACCAAAGCAAGATGATGTAACAAAAACTGCTCAATCCTATACATTGCCATCATCTCAGGTGAGTGCTGTCTAATATCAAGATCGTAATTGATAAGCGCGAGCGTAGATGTGGGGTGGGTGTAGGATATGATGTGGGTTTGTGGATATGAGAGTGAGTGTGAGTATAGGCGTAGACTTGGTTGGATATCTTTTCTTTACGCATTCGCACACAAATACACGCATACACATACTTATCCAGATCCTTGAGATCGTAGAGTTTCATCAGCTTCTAAAGTCTCTTGCATTTCTTGTGTGCTGAGAATTTCTTGCATTGTGATTCATCTAATATTAGACAGTAAGCTATAGGACGTTCATGAAGTGTGACTGAGTGCAATTCAAGCTATCCGAATAGGCTCGCCGTTTTACATTTCGACCAAACAAGTACGAAGGAAAATATTAGCACAAGGAAACAAATCGTCCATTTTCTAATATTTCTCTCTAAAAATCTGTATAAAGATATTTTGAAGTCTTCTTTTCCGAACTACAGACACGTTCTAATATTTTGATAATAACGGGCTTATATCATTGAGCTTTACAAACCCT